GGGGTGGAGTTCACAGAGACGCAGGCACGCGTTTTCCTTGAGCTGCTGTGAGCCTGCCACCAGGTTCGGGAGGCTTCCCGAGCAGCATTTTGGTGTTTACCTTACTTAAGAGCTCAGCAATGGCGGGCGCCCCCTCTCCCAGGCCTCACTGCTGCTCTTGCCGGTGTAGATCACAGACTGTCGTGTGCTAGCAATGAGGGAGGCTCCGTGGGTGTGGGACCCTCCCGGCCATGGTGTGGGATATGATCTCCTGGTGTGCCTGGTTTGCTTAAAGCGCAGAATTGGGGGTGGGAGTTACCCGATTTTCCCGAGGTGTGTGTGTGTCTCAGGTTCCCCTGGCTAGGAAAAGGGATTCCCCTTTCCCCTTGCGCTTCCAGGTGGAGGCGAGTTGCCTCGGCCCCTGCTTCAGCTCTCGCTGGTCGGCTGCAGCAGCTGACCAGCCACCATCGTCCGGGCACTCCCAGTGAGAAGGAGACTGACCCCCAGTCCCTCAGTTGAAATGCAAGAATATCCACCGGTCTTCTGGGTCGCTCGCGGCTGGGAGTTGGAGACTGGAAGCTGTTCTACCTATCGTGGGCCATTCTTGCTCTGCCCTCCGACTTTCTGGCGCTTCTAGCCTTAAAACTAGTGACTAGCAAAGTAAGCATCATTTCTTCTCTCTACATATTTCTTTTTAATGAAGGAATTAGATGAGCTGAGATGATACCTGATTCATCGGGGAGTTCTAACATGTTTAAAACATTTTCTAGGTATACCATTCATTTGAGAAGAATGCAAAGTATTAATTTCCAAATTGATATAGTATTATATTGTAAATATATTTATGGCCCCATTACCAGGTTAGGGAAGAGAAATTAATCCCATTCTCTCCTAATTATATCCTCTTACTCATTCCCAAAGACAGCTAATCACTCTATCAAGTTGTAATCCAGTAGGTAACTTTAAGCTTTTTAAAGTCTTCATGTGAGTAAAAAGTGTAGTATTTACTTCTCTATTTCTTTGTCCTAAACAAAAGTAATCCTTATCACCTAGTAATTTTGGCCTCTTCCTGTCAGCAGAGCAGCAGACAAGAGAAAGGAGTTACTATTTGATGTCGGGTAATTATCCTCAAGCCATACAGTGTAGGAGAATATATCTATACCTCAGAAGATTTACTTAGTATATTGATTTACTAGCACTGCTATGATGAATTACTGCAAACCAAGTGGCTTAAATTTATTTTTTCACGGTCCCAATGGCTATTAGTCTGAAATTACGGTGTTGGCAATGTTATTTTCGTCTGAAGGCTGCGAGGGAAGGATCTGTTTCCGGTCTTTCTCCTTAACTTGCAGATGCCTATCATTTCCATGTGTGTTTCATACAATTTTTCTACTATATCATACTGTTTGAATTTCCCCCATGTATAGATATCAGTGATATTTAATCAGAGACCTAAGTGTTTCCAATATGAACTTGTCTTGTCACATAACATTTTAAATGATTCTATTTGTGTATGAATTTTGGTGGACACGAATTAACCCATAACACTGCAGAATCTCATAGTGTGTCCATGCCCAGTGATAACCACAGATGAGTAAGAACAGCAATCACAGTGGACAGTGGTATAGTAACGAGAGGCTCAGACCCTTCAGGAAGGAAGTTCTGAGCTACTCTATCAGCAATTAATTAGACCAAGAAGAATGCTGTCCAGGGGTGAAAGGAGACTAGAACTGGTGATAATTAATGGAGATTGTGAATCTCAGGTGCACTGTATTACAGCAGCAGTAGGTGTAGCTTATGTCATTGGCCTTCATTTTACATCTCACTTCCTCCTTTTTCTTTTTCTTTCTTTCTCTCTTTCTTTCTTCCTTCTTTCTTTTCTTTTCTTGTCTTTCTTTTCTTTCTTTCTTTCTTTCCTTCTTTCTTTCTTGTTTCTTTCTTTCTTTTTTTTCTTTCTTTTTTTCTTTTTCTTTCTTCCTTTCTTTTCCTTCCTTCCCTCTGTTGTTCTGTTTTTCTTTCTTTCGTCTTTCCTCCTCCTCTCATCTTCTGTCCCTTCCCTTCCTCCTCTTCCTCTCTTCCTCTTCTTCCTTCTCCTAGAGCTTGTGACTGTCCATCGTATTTAAGTAGCAATATTTGACTTGAATGGAGCTAATTGTAGGTCATAGACAAGTTTTCATGACTGCACCCATATATCTTGGATATTAATGTGCTTGGATTAATTTCCATCTGTCAAAATCTGCATCTCTGTGCCTAAGGGCTCTTGTATTGCAGCTGTAGAAAGTCATGCCACCTATGAATGCAACACAGAGAAAAACACTCAACCAGTGATTCTGGACAGCTGATTTATAAAGACTCTAGCTTCCTCATTCCTGAAGTAGGATAATTCTAGCTGTGTGTTTTTCATCATTTCTGATAATTTTCCCTTTAACGTAAGCTTCAGTTGGTGACTGTGATACTGACTTAATAGTGAACCCTTTTCTGTGTCACTTCCCCAATCCCTACCAGTGTGATCTGCGCTTCCCAGTAAACTACTTTCACTGGAATCTTTTTTTCAGAGTCTCTTCTATGAGAAACTAATCTATGACAATACGTTCATTCTCTCAGCCTCAAATTTCTCGCCTCTACAAAGGGAACATTAATACCTATTTTGAAAGTTTGTTAAAGAGTTAATAATAAGGTACACAAAGCACTTAGCCAATACCCATCAGATAGCAGGCATCCCAGAATTAGTGTTTTTTGTTCAGCAAATTCCTAATTTTCATGTTGAAGATAAGAATTTTTTGTAATAATTAACTAGATCAACTAAATACATTTTTTCTAGCTGTACTGAGGTATAATTGACAAATGAAAATTGTGTATATTTCAGGTATACAAGGTGATGCTCTGATATATATATTCATTGTGAATAGCATATTTATTAGGTCACGTAGTTACCATTTCCTTTTTATTTTTGTGATGTGAACATTTAAGATCTACCTTCTCAGTTAATTTCAGATATATGATAATATGTTTTTCACTATAGTCACATTACTGTACATTAGAAATGCTGAACTTATTCATCTTTCATAACTGATGCTAGTCAAGAGAATGTCCTAGCTTTCATCTCCTTTACTTCATCCCTGAACGATGAACACAGTAAGTGGCCGTTATCTCTTAGCCAAGTCTTCAGAGCATCTAGATTCACAGTCTCAAAAGTTGGCATCTGTCATGGAAATCCACATTGTTAGCTCATCAGAGGTATTTCCACCACTCCCATGCTGGTAGGAGGTCCCAAGAAGGTGGCCCAGGTCCCCGACTTTTCAATTTCTCTCAGAGCCAGTATCAATCAATCCTCACATGAATGAATGCTTATCTTACATCAGTTCAGGACCCGAAGCACCAACCTCTGTCTATCATGACTTCTATGAAGGCACAAGTTCTACTTTGCTCCTTTCTTGCCTTCTTCTGATTTCCCTGGAAACACAAGTTTTTTGTTTCTTTAGATGCTTCATATTGGCCTCACAAAATGTGAAGGTTGTTTTATTCCCTCCTCGGCTCAGAGATTATGGATTGTGCCAAGTCGTACACGCCCAGTGTGCAGTTTCTCAGTTCTCAGCTTTGTTCTTAGTTAATTTTCCTCATAAGATTTCAAGTAGGGGACAAATTGTCTTAATGTGGCATAATGTATGGTCTGTATTTTACAAGGAATAACTTAGTTTCATTTACTTCATCAATAGGTATTCAGAAGACAGAGGCTGCATAAAAATTTTATTTACATGATACTGAGTAAAAGTTTCTTCAGATAGACTGCCTCTCATGGGTCCACAATACATTCTCAAGCATTTTTTGTTGCAGATAAAGTGAATGAATGGCTGGTTGGAGACTGAGAAAACACAGTCCCTGCACTCAGGGCAGCCATTAAATGCAGTTCCTGCTGCCATATCATGCACCTGTTCCTCATTGAGGTGTGGGAAATTATGCTGGTAATTTTTTTTGTGTGTTAACAAAAACTTTATCTGCAAATATGAGAGATTATTTCTCTCACTGTAAATAAACTCAAGTGCAAGTCTTGCTAATGCTGACTTCCAATGTCATTTCACTATATTGAGAGTTAAATGTAAGTGCTCTCGGCCAGAAAGAGAGGACCTCACCTTGGACCAGAATCTGCCCTTTAGCAGTTACATAACATCACACATTAAATTGTTCTCAACTCAAAAAAAAAGGTAATAACAGATGATCGTCTGTTTTGAGAATCAAATTGGATAATACCTATGGTATGTGATATATGTGTAAATCCCACATCAGAAATATTTTTAAATAAAACAAAACACCATATGAAATGAGGATGGTTCAGACTTTATTCAGAAACATAGCAAAGAATTTCTGCTACCAGGGACATAACTCAAAGTTATCATGAAAAAAGAAAAAAGGATACAAGAACCATGAGGACGATATTGAAAACAAAAATATAATTGCAAAGTTTATCGATCAGTTGCAGAAACCTAAATTCCTTAGAAGCAGAGAATGAAACTCTTGACTTTCAAGTGAAAGCTGAGACCATGACTCCAAATTGAGAACACACGAAGCTGGCACATGATCCACAAGGTGGAAGGTAAAAGAGAATCAGGATGAAGTATTCTGCCCTCCCTCAAGCAGATTCCCAAGATTTTAAACATGCAGATAATTCATAAAAATTTGGGTGAGAGCACGGTGGCTATTAGCAGCAAAGTAAATTAGTCCCCCAAAAGATAAGTCAATTGAGCAGAAGGTTGTTGTGTGAGGACGGTGGTTCTCTTGGGACTTGATCAGCAGCAAAAAGGCTGGCAGCAGTTGGTCACACAGGTGGGCTGGAAGCAAGTGGTCCTGCAGCAGGTGGTCTCACAGCAGGCTGGGCGGCAGCAGGGCTGGCAGCAGCTGGATCCATAGCTCTGGTTTAGGCAACCAGGCAGGCAGACACATGTGGGGTGGTAGCAGGTTCTTCTGCAGTAGACAGGTGCACAGGAGCTGGTCTGGCCACAGCTGGACCCACAGCTGGTTTGGCCACAGCAGCTGGACCCACAGCAGGTGGGCTGGCAGCAGGGTGTGCTGCAGCAGGAAGGCTGGCAGCAGCTGGTCACACAGATGGGCTGGCAGCAAGTGTTTTGACAGCAAGTTGGGCGGCAGCAAGGCTGGCAACAGCTGGACACACAGCAGGAGGGCTGGCAGCAGGGTGTGCTGCTGCAGGTGGTCACACAGGTGGGCTTCCAGCAGGTGGTCCTGCAGCAGGTGGTCCTGCAGCACGTAGGCTGGCAGCAAGAGGAGCAACAGTTGGTCATGGTGTCAGGGGTGGAGGGTGGGCTTCTATTCAGAGGTGAATTTCCCAGAATGTGATGACCCCTTGCAATCTGGACCTTTTATACACCTGGCCTCCAAAGTTTCCACCAATCTGCAGGACTTTTCCTTGTTGCTGTTTACATTGCTTTCCACAATCCTTTTGGGATTGTCAAAGGGGAAGTTCTTTCTTAAAATTTATGAATCTGTTGAAAGTAAGTGTTTAATCTGTTTCTTAATTGTGAATTACTCATAGAAACTTCATTTCAGATAGAAGGAAGCTCCTCTCATCATCAGCGTCATTCCTGCTCTGACAATCATCTGGTCATGTGATAGGTCCTGGTAATATGGGAGACTCACGTACTTCTCTCTGCCCAGCCTCACGGTTGGCTGATTGTGGTCTGAGAAGTGCCTGTGGGGAGAAGTATGATGTTGATAAATTTATGGTGACAAAATGACTCCATTCCTGGGCCCAAGACTATTCACCCACCAAATTCTGATTGAAGACTAATAGGTATCTCTCTGTGCAACCCTGACCACCTGTGTCTTTCAGTTCTTTGAATGTCACTTGGGAAGAGAGTATCTGGCAGAGTGTGTTCCATGTGGCAGAGCAGATTGAGAGCAAGTGGATGCAGAGAATTCCACTGGGATTTAGAGAGCATAAAGCAATGTATGCCCTGGGGCGACCATTCATTCTGACTTACCTGTGAGTGTGGTGATTACCAGGATGAGAATGTAGGACTTTCTATCACATAACTGGTTGAGAGTCAGACCAACCAGCATGTGCTGTGGCTCTAGCCTTAAACCTAGTTACTAGCACAGTAAGCGTCATTTCTTCTCTCCATTTTTTAAAATGAAGAATTAGATGAGTTGAGATGATACCTGATTCATCATGGAGTTCTAATATGTTTAAACCATTTTCTAGGTATACCATTCATTTGAGAAAAATGCAAATTATTAATTTCCAACTTGATATAATATTATATTGTAAATACATCTATGTCCCCATTACCAGGTTAGGAAATAGAAATTAATCCCATTCTCTCCCAATTATATCCTCTTACTCTTTCTCAAGGACAACTAATCACTCTATCAAGTTGTAATCCAGTAGGTAACTTTTGGCTTTTTAAAGTTTTCATGTGAATAAAAAGTATAGTATTTGCTTCTCTATTTGTTTGTCATTATCAAAAGGAATCAGTATCACCTAGTCATTTTGGACTCTTCCTGTCAGCAGAGCAGCAGACAGAGAAAGAAGTTACTATTTGGTGAGGGGTAATTATCCTTAAGCCATATAGTATAGCAGAATGTATTTATAGCTCAGGATACTTAGTAAGTATATTAACTTACTAGCACTGCCATGATAAATTACTGTAAACCAAGTGGCTTAAATTTATTTTTTCACAGTTCCAAAATTAAGGTGTTTGCAATGTTTTCATCTGAAGGCTGTGAGGGAAGTGTCTGTTCCACGTTTCTCTCCTTGACTTGTTGATGTCTATCATTTCCATGTGTGTTTGACATAATTTTTCTACTATATGCATACTGTCTCTGAATTTCCCTTTTCTATGCAGACATCAGTCATATTTAATCAGAGGACCAATTGTTTCCAATATGACTTTGTCTTAACATGTAACATTTCAAATGCTTCTACTTGTGTATGAATTTTGGTGGACACAAATTAACCCATAACACTGGCGAATCTCATAGAGTGTCCATGCCCAATGATAACCACAAATGAGCAATCCCAGTGGACAATGGTATAGTAACTAGAGGCTCAGACCCTTCAGGAAGGAAGTTCTGAGCTACTTCTTCATGTGGTTACCTAGACCAAGAAGTGCTGGCCAGGGATGAAAGGAGAATAGAACTGGTGGTAATTAATGGAGATTGTGAATCTCAGGTGCACTGTATTACAGCAGCAGTAAGTGTTGCTATTTCACTGGTATTCATTTTGTAAATCTTTACTTCCTTCTCTTTCTTTTCCTTATTCTTCTCTTTCCTTCCTTCTCTCTCCTCCTCCTTTCTTCTTTTCCTCTCCTCTCTCTCCTCCTTCCGTTTCACTTGCCTTCCTCCTCTCTTCACCTCCTCATCTCCTCCTCCTTCACTCGCCCTTCCTCTTTCTTTCTTTCTTTCCTTTCCTTTCTTCTTTTCTTTCTTTCTTTCTTTCTTTCTTTCTTTCTTTCTCTCTCTCTCTCTCTTTTTCTTTCTTCCTTTCTTTCTCCTCCACTCATCTTCTGTCCCTTCTCTTACTCCTCTTTCTCACCTCCTCTTCTTCCTTCTTCTAGAGCTTGTGGCTGTCCATCACATTTAAGTAGCAAAGATTTGACCTGAGTGGAGCTAATTGTGGATCGTAGACAAGTTTTCATGACTGCATCCATATATATTAGATCGTAGTGTGCTTGGACTAATTTCCATCTGTTAGACTCTGCATCACCGTGCCTAAGGGCTCTTGTATTGCTGCTGTAAGAAGTCATGTCACCTGTGAAGGCAACACAGAGAAAAACACTCAACCAATGATTCTGGAGAGCTGATGTATAAAGACTAGCTTCCTCATTCCTGAAGTAGGATAATTCTAGCTGTGTGTTTTTCACCATTTCTGATAGTTTTCCCTTAACTTAAGCTTTAGTTAGTCATTGTGATACTGACTTAATAGTGTACCGTTTTCTGTATCACTTTCCCAGTCCCTACCAGTGTGATCTGCACTTCCCAATAAACTAGTTTCACTGGAACATTTTCCTCAGAGTCTCTTCTGGGAGAAACTAATCTATGACAATACACTAACTCTCTCAGCCTCGATTTTCTCATCTCTACAAAGGGAACGTTAATACCTATTTTGAAAGTTTGTTAAAGAATTAGTAGTAGCCGGGTGCGGTGGCTCACGCCTGTAATCCAAGCACTTTGGGAGGCCTAGGTGGGTAGATCACAAGGTCAGGAGATCGAGATCATCCTGGCTAACACGGTGAAACCCCGTCTCTACTAAAAATACATAAAATTAGCTGGGCATGGTGGCAGGTGCCTGTAGTCCCAGCTACTCAGGAGGCTGAGGCAGGAGAATGGCGTGAACCCTGGAGGCAGAGCTTGCAGTGAGCCGAGATCGCACCACTGCACTCCAGCCTGGGCAACAGAGCAAGACTACATCCCGCTCCCCTCTCCAAAAAAAAGAATTAATAATAATGTACACAAAGCCTTTAGCCAATACCCATCCTATAGTAGGCAGCCCAGAATTAGTGTTTTTGTTCAGAAAATTTCTAATTTTAATGTTGAAGAATATTTTTGTAATAATTAACTAAATCAACTAAATACTTTTTCTGGCTGTTTTGAGGTGTAATTAACAAATAAAAATTGTGTCTATTTCAGGTATGAAAGGCGAAGCTCTAATATATGTATTCATTGGGAATAACATATGTATTAGCCCATGTAGTTACCATTTCCTTTTTATTTTTTGTGGTGTGAACATTCAAGATCTAACTTCTTGGCAAATTTCAGGTATATGATAAAGTGTTTATAACTATAGTGACATTACTGTACAGTAGACGTGCTGAACTGATTCATCTTTCGTAACTGATGCTGGTCAAAGAGAATGTCCTAGTTTTCATCTCCTTTACTTCATCCCTGAACAATGATCACAGTAAGCGGCTGTTGTCTCTTAGCCAAGTCTTCAGAGCATCTAGATTCACAGTCTCAGAAGTTGGCGTCTGTCATGGAAATCTACTTTGCTAGCTCATCAGAGGTATTTCCACCACTCCCATGGTGGTAGGAGGTCCCAAGAAGGTGACCCAGGTCCCCAAACTTTATATTTCTCTCAGAGCCAATATCAATCAATCCTTCCATGAGTGAATGCTTAACTTGCATCAGTTCAGTACCAAAAGCACCAACCTCTGTCTATCATGACTTCTATGAATGCACAAGTTCTACTTTGCTCCTTTCTTACATTCTTCTGATTTCCCTGGAAACACAGTTTTTAGTTTCTTGTTTTTTTCTTTTTTTTTTTCTTTTGAGACAGAATCTCGCTCTGTCAACCAGGCTGGAGTACAGTGGCACCATCTCGGCTCACTGCAAGCTCCGCCTCCCAGGTTCACACCATTCTCCTGTCTCAGCCTCCCGAGTAGTTGGGACTACAGGCTCCTGCCACCACACCCCGCTAATTTTTTGGTTTTTTTTTTTAGTAGAGACGAGGTTTCACCGTGTTAGCCAGGATGATCTTGATCTCCTGACCTCGTGATCTGCCTGCCTTGGCATCCCAAAGTGCTGGGAGTTTTCAGTTTCTTTAGATGCCTCATATTGGTCTTACAAAATGCAGAAGGTTATTTCGTTCCCTTCCTTGGTTCAGAGATTACGGATTGTGTCAAGTCTTACATACCCATTGCATACTTTCTCAATTCCCAGCTTAATTCCTTACTTAATTTTCCTCATAACATTTCGATTAGGGGACAAATTGTCTTAATGTGGCATAAGGTACAGTCTGTATTTTACAAGGAATAACTTAGTTTCGTTTACTTTGTCATTAGGTAGTCAGGAGATGGAGGCCATATAAGAATTTTATTTACATGATACTGAGAATGAGTCACTTCAGATGAGAGTCTCTCTCATGATGATATAAAGTATTCTCAAGCATCTTTTCAATGCAGATGAATTGAATGATTGGCTGGTCAGAGGCTGAGAAAAAAAGATCCCTGCATTCAGGGCAGCCATTAAATGCAGTCCCTGCTGCCATATTATGCAGCTGTTGCTCACTGAGGTGCGGGAAACTAAGTTGGAAATTAAGTTTGTGTGAACAAAAATGTTATCTGCAAATATAAGTGATTAATCCTCTCATTGTTAAACAAACTCAAGTGCATGTCTTGCTAGTGCTGACTTCCAATGTCATTCCACTATATTGAGAATTAAATGTAAGTGCCCTTGGCCAGAAAGAGAGGAACTCAGCTTGGATCAGAATCTGTCCTTTATTAGCTACATAACATCATATATTAAATTTTTTTCAGGTGAAAAAGGAAGGTAATAATAGATGACCATCTGTTTTGAGAATCAAATTGGATAAT